GCGCCCCAGGTAGCCACACCGATTCAAGCGCCCCACGTAGCCATGGCTTCATGGAGGCAGCGGCCGAGCCCGCCGGCGGCACGTGCCATTCCTGCGGCTGGCAGTGCGCCTCCTGCAACGCCGACCGCTGCCTCGCCTGCGAATCCAGCGCCCTCAGGCTGCTAATCTACGGCCACCATTGCGTCAGCCAGTGTCCCCCTTACACCCTGGAGACGGTGCCCGGCGAGTGCGTCCCCTCGCCGGGGATCCTTTGCCCGAGGTACACCTTCCAGGACAAGTGCCCCAGCTGCCCGGCCGGGCTGCTGGCCCTGCCGGACCGCGCCGGCTGCGTGACCTCCTGCCCGGCCGGGACCTACCGGCCGCTGGATGCCCACGAGTGCCGGGCCTGCCCGGGCGCGTGCGCCACCTGCGTGCAGTACCGGCCCACCCCGGCGGCGGCGGCCGCGCGGCTGGACTGCCTGTCCTGCGCCGACCCGGCCCGGGCGCAGGTCGACCCGAGCACCGGCGCCTGCGTGGCCGCCTGCCCGGATGGCACCTACCCCACGGCCGAGGGCCGCTGCGAGCGGTGCATGGCCGACTGCCTGACCTGCCGCGAGGGGCGCCGGTGCACCCGGTGCCAGCCGCACCTGTGGCGCCTGGGGGACCTTTGCCTCGAGCGCCGGCCCACCAACTCCTATGTGGTGCTGGACAATGTGCTGGAGCGCTGCCGCGACCCGGCCTGCCAGCAATGCGACCAGGCCAACCGCTGCACCACCTGCCAGCCCTCGCACCGGCTTGTCCGTGAGACTGGCCAGTGTGTGTTCGCCCTCTGCCCGGCCGGCACGGTGGAGCTGGGCCTCGAGTGTGCCGCCTGCCCGGCCGGCTGCGAGCGCTGCTCCTCGGCCGGGGCCACGTGCGACCTGTGCGCCCGCGGCCACTACATGCACCAGGGCAGCTGCCTGGCTGCTTGTCCGCCGGGCCTGGTCCCGGCCCCGGCCGATGCCCGGCTCATGGATGATGGCCTGGCTGGCCGGTGCGTCGAGGCGGATGGCTCGTCCCCTGGCAACGGGGCTCCCGGCGCCGGGGCCAGCAGCAGCACCGGTGCGTGCATGCCTCCCATCCCCCTTCGGCGCCCTGCCCGCTCGGTGACGGTCGCGCGGGTCCTGCCCTTTTCTTCTTCCTCTTTCTCGGCCCCGCCCCCCTTCGTGCTGACCCTCCCCCCTGTTGTCCTCCCCTCTCCTCTCCGGCTCGGGGGCTTCGGTCCGTGTGTCGGCACGCGTGGTGCTCTGGCTTCGGGCCCGCGCAGGCACCCGCCCGGGCAAGACCGCCGCCTGGGTGATTGCGGTCAGTGTCGTCGGCGCCGTGCTGGGTCTGGCTCTCATCGTTGTGGGCGGCGCCTTCGTGGCCAAGGCCGTTGGCGGTGGCGCCGGCGGCAGCCCCGGCGACAAGCAGGATTTCGTGCGTGCCTCCCCCCCCCCCCCCGTTGCACCCTCGGCCAAAAGCCCCCCCTCTGACCCCGCCCCTCGCCGCCCCTGGGCGTGTGCATCCAAATGGCGCGATCCGCAGTACATGAGCATCATCGATTGAGGGGCCAGGACACCCCCCCCCCCCCCCCCGCCCGACGGCGCGGACCGTCCGCCCCTTCTCTCTCCTCTCTCGCCCTCTGGATGTGCTCCACCTCCCCTGTCGCGCACACCAATACATTCACACACACACAGAGACTCCGCGGCGAACGAGCCGCCAGCCTGTGCTCGAGGGCGGAAAAAAGGCGGCCGGGTCAAAATCACCTCCCATACCGGGACTCGAACCCGGGGCGCGTGGGTGAAAGCCACGTATCCTAACCACCTAGACCATATGGGACCTATGCTGGTGGAGCTGCACCCGGCCGGCCTTTTTGTGCCCTCGGCTTTCGGCCGCCGCTGCCCCGGGTCCCAGGACCGCCGCCGGACTCGCCTTGGAAAGTCCTCGCCGCCGCCCCCCGGCGTGCGTACACACGCCCGCGCGCCCGCGCCCGCGAGCGACACACCGCCAGCCGACGGAGGGGCTCCCTTTGTTTGTCATTTGCTTTGCATAAAAATGTGCCTATTTCCCGCACTTCTGTCAGCCCGGCGCCGGCCTTTTCCCGGGACCCGGGCGCGGGCCCCGCCCGCGGAAACCCCTCTGCCGGAGTCGCAGCCCGCCGCCACCGGGCGACGGGGGTGCGGTGCGCGAACGAGCCCGGCGACGCGCCGGTTCGTGGAAGACCCCGCGGCCAACATGCCAATGCTCCGCAGGCCGGGCACTTTTCACGAGCCGCGCACCCGCCCCAGGGGGAGAGGCGGGCAGCCCCCCCCCCGGGGGCGGTGGCGGCAACGGGGCGGTGACCGGCCGGCGCCCTGTCGCGCGTTTGTCCCGGCTCGCGCACACGAACGCGCGTGTGCGCGGGCGGGCTCGCGGCACCGGGCAAAAAAGAGCCCGGTCCTCCGGCGGCCGCCGGTCCGGCGCTGGAATTCCCCACCCGCGCCGGCCCCGCGTGCGCCCCGCCGAAGGTACGCGAGAACACCCGGCCCCGCCCCGGTGCTCTCGCCGCGCGGTCGTCCGGTCGTCTCTGTCGCCGGGCGTTCGCCTTGCTGCCAGGGTGCCCTGCGCGCGCATCCCCGCGCCCGGACTCAATGCGGGTGGCGCGGCGCCCGGGCGGCGCGCCGGGGTGCGGGGCACAAGCCGCGGCGGGGGACACACGGCCGCGCGCCCCCTCCCGGCCGGCATATATCCCGGCGCCGGTCGGGCGGCGGGCCCCCGAGCTGGCGCGCCAGGGTGTTTCCCGGAAATGCCGCGGCCCGCGCCACGACTCCCCCGGCCCTGCGCGTACCCGTGTGGCCCGGACGCGCACCCGACGCAGGGCGGCGGAGGCGGGGGGGGGGGGGGGGGGGAGGGGGGGCGGGGCATCCGTGTCGCCGGTCCCTCTCTCGCCCCCCGCCCCCCCTCTCCCGGCCCCCGCGCGTGCGCGCGGGCCCCCCTGGTGTGTCAACTTCGCCCCTCGGGCCAGATTCCTGCCATGCCCGCAAGTGCGCGCGCATGCCGGCGGACAGGCGGACCGGGCCGGCTGCGGGGACATCCGGCAAAGCAGCCGCATCAGCATGCGCCCCCCCCCCCGCGCCTGTTAAAAGACACCGCCGGCGGGCGGGCCCCCCCCGGGCGTTCGGTCCCGGATCACCCGCACCGCGTGCTTGCCTCCTCTCCCTTGTCGCGTTCCCACCCTCGGCCCCGCCCCTCCCCCGCATTTCCCCCTCCCCCCCCCTCTCTCTCTCTCTCTGCCCTCCTGCCCGATCTTCCACCATGTTGTCCATCATCATCGGCGTGCTGGCCACGCTGCTTGTGATGGTGGGTGTCCACTTCGGCATGAAGAAGTTCACCGCCAAGAATGCCCCCAAGCAGCCGGCCGCCGCCGCCGCCGCCGCCGCCGCCAAGCCGGCCTCGCCTAGCCCCGGCAAGCAGCCGGCCTCCGCCGCCGCCGCCGCCGCCGCCACCGCCACCCCCGCCGCCGCCGCCACCGCCACCCCCGCCGCCGCCGCCACCGCCGCCCCCCCGGCCGCCGGCCCCACCACCGACGCCGCTCCCCTGCATGATCTGGCCTGGCTCAACCACGCCGTCAAGGCCACCCTGGCCGGCGCGCGCGAGGACACCGCCACCCGCCGGGCCCTGTCGGACCTGGTTACCGGGCGCATCCAGCAGGCCGGGCCGGCCGGCTTCGCCTTCACCAAGCTCCACCTGAGCTCCCTCTCCCTGGACCAGGCGTTTGTGGCGGAGTTCCGGCCGCTGGCCGACCCGACGCTGGCCGCCGCGGCCCAGGCACCCGGCCCCGGGCGCCTGTGCAGCTTCCACCACCGCGGCCAGGTGTCCTTCTCCTTCGACGCGGAGATCGCCCACCCCAAGCTCGGGTCCCTGGAGGTCCCGGTGGTGGGCTTCCTCAGCGACATGCACTTCCACTGCGCGCTGGCCCTGGCCACCGGGGCCGAGGCGCCTGCCGCCGGCAGCCTGGCCGTGGGGGTTGTCCCCGGGACGGCCAGCTTCCGGCTGACCGTCCGGTCGCCGGTCGACCACCCGGACCGCTCGGCCATCGAGGCCTTCCTGCCGGCCAAGCTGCACGCCCTGCTGGCGGCGGCCCTCTTCCCGGTGGGCCCGGCGGCCGCGCCCTTCGTCATCGCGCTGCGTGTGCGTGTCCCCTCCCTTTGTGTGTGTGTGTGTGTGTGTGTGTGTTGTCATCCTGGACACCCAACACTGACCGGCCTCCCGCTCCTCTTGTTCCTCTTGTTCCTCTTGTTCCTCTTGTTCCTCTTGTTCCTCCCACCCCGACCCCGACCCCGACCCCGACCCCGCCCCCCCCCCCCTGGCAGACCCCCTCCGGGGCGCCTGATGCGGCGGCCCCCGACGCGGCCCCCGTCGCCGCCCTGCTCAGCGTCACCCTGCACTCCGGCAACAACCTGCCGGTCATCCGCCGGGAGCACCACCTGTCCACTTACTGCCGGCTGGTGGTCCCCGGGGCCAAGGAGGACGACCCGACCGGGCCGCGCACGCCGCTGCTGCCCCCCCGGCCGAAGGCTTCCTGGGGCCGGGGCCACTGCCTGTCGGCGGCCCTCACCTCGGCCGAGCCGGTCACCCTGGCGCTCATGGGCCGGCCGACCTTCGGCGACCTGAGCACCGGCGACCAGCTCCTCGGCTCGGCCACCATCAACCTGACCTCCCTGCCGCCGGATGGCTCGGCCACCCGGCTGACGGTGCGCCTGCTGTCGGCTTGCGGGTCCGGCCGGCCAACCGGCGCCTCGCTCGAGGTCACCGCGCGCCTGCTCCTGGCCGGGGCGCCGGGGCAGCAGCAGCAGCAGCAGCAGCAGCCCCTGGTCCTGGCCCCGGCGGCGGATCTGGCGGCGCTGGTGGCCGCGGCCGCGGCCGACGCCGGGGTTCTCACCCGGCGCGATGTGCCGCTGGCCCTCGCCGTCGCCGGTGCGTGGTGTCCCTTGTGTCTTTGCCTCCCGCTCTCTTTTCCCCCCCCCCCCCCCCCACCCCGCTCCGCTGCCCCTTCGCCGACTCCTGACACGCTGTCGCCCCGGCGGCCCGTTCCGCAGCCCCGCGCATGGCCCCCGGCAGCACCCTCGGCCCGGCGCAGGCGGCCCTGCATCTGTCCGGCCCGGGCGCCGGGGCGTCGCACGCCGCCATCCTCCCGGCCACCGGCGAGGCGGCCCCCACTTGGCCCGACGCGCCGCAGGCCCTGGGCACCCTGGCCCACCATGAGGACAGCCTGTCCGTCTTCCTGGTGGACAGCGCCACCGGCCCCACGCCGGTGACCCTGGCCCACGGGGAGTTCCACATCACCGAGGACCTGGTGGCCGTGCAGCCCGAGCCCCAGGTGGCCAAGGTGGCCCTGGCCCTGGCGCCGTCGGTGACGGCGGCCACGGCCGCCGCCGCCGCCGCCGCCGCCTCGCCCGAGGCCGGCGACCTGGTCTTTTCGTTTGTCCTCCTGCCGGCTGATGCCCGGCCCACGGCCTACGAGCGCCTGTGCCAGCCGGCGGCGGCCGACGCCGCTGCCGATGCCGGTGCCAGCGTCGTGGCCGCCCAGCCGGAGGCGGCCCCCTCCATCGAGGAGGCCCCGTCGGCCAGCCTGGCCCTCGTCTCGGAGGAGGAGCCGGCCGCCATGGCCGATGCTGCCCCCCCGGCCGAGGCCGAGGAGTCGGCCCTCGATGCCGCCCGGTCGCAGTCCACCATCGACATGGCCATCCCCCTGCCGGAGCTGGTGGTGTCCACGTCGGCCGACGTGCTGGCCGATGAGCCGGCGGCGGCGGCCGGGCCCTCCATCCCGGAGCTGGTGGTGTCCACGTCGGCCGATGTCCTGGCCCCGGGGGCCGTGGTGCCGGCCATTGTGGTCGACGAGCCGGCGGCCGTGCCGCAGATCCAGGTTGACCCGGCGCCGGCGGCGGCCGGCGGCGCCCCTCCGGCCATCGTCGTCTCGACGCCGGACGGCCCGGCCGACATGGCCACCACCCCGACCGCGGCCACGGCCACCACCCCGACCGCGGCCACGGCCACCACCCCGACCGCGGCCACGGCCACCACCCCGACCGCGGCCACGGCGGCCACCGGCACCGGGCGAACCCCCTCGCCCAGCAGCAGCGGGCGATCCATCTTCAAGGGCGGCCTCTTCCGGTCGTCCTCCACCTCGTCGTCCTCCTCCTCGCGCGGGGGGGGCAGCAAGCGCCACGAAGCCCCGCGGATGACTGCCTCCCCGAGCTTCGGCGACCAGCAGGCCATGGATTCGCTGCACCTGTCGGTGGCCAGCGCGGCGGCCGGGTCGTCGTCCCTGTCCACCGGCGGCGGGTCGTCCATCGCCTCCTCGGCGTCGGCCCGGTCGGTGACCATCCTCGATGACGCCGGCAAGAAGACGCACCTGGCCATGGGGCACCGGTTCCGCGCGACGCACTTCAACAAGCTGGTTTCCTGCGCCGTGTGCAACTCCACCCTGCTGGGCATCGGCAAGCAGGGCTACCGCTGCCAGGATTGCTCCCTCATCTGCCACAAGAAGTGCCACGCCAGCGCCCCGGCCTGCGCGTCCAACCCGCAGGATGTCTCCCTGGACCTGACCAGCATCCTGCCGGACGACAATGCCCTGCTCAACAAGGACTAAGGCGGCGGCGGCGTGCCGGGGCAGGCGGGGGACAGGCGTGCTTGATTGCGCTCCTGTTCCCCCCGCCCCCCCCCTCCCGCTCCCTCGCGCCATGCGCGCGGCGAAGAAAAGAAAAAAGAAAACCCACAAATACACGCTCTCAAATGAAAAGACCTTTTTACGTGGACATTTTCGCCACACCGGCGCCGAAAATCCCGGCCCCAGTGCGGTGGGGCGTAGCGGCGGGCGGCCCGGCCCCCTGCCCCCCGGCCGGGGTGCGGGTCTACGCTCGGTTCCTCGGGGAGGGCGCCGGGCGGGGGGCCGATCCTGGCCCGTGCGTGGGCGACTCCGGGCTGCGGGCGCGTGTGCTCGCAGTTTTGACCGACCCGGCCGGCCGGGCCCCGGCCCGCTCGATCACTGGACTCTCTCCCTCCCCCCCCCAAGATCCCCCGTCTCCCCTCCCCCGCCACTTTTCCCTTCTCGCCTTTCCTCCCAGCCCGTCTCCTCGCTGCGCGTGCACCATGTCCGGCAAGAACGCCCCCGCCGCTGCCTCTCCCGCGGAGGAGAGCCACGCCAACCTCAACGGCCAGAACATGATCGACATGGACCAAGTCGAGGTGAACATCCGCCAGTCGGTGCCGGAGTACAGCAATGTCTATGCCGCCTGTGCGGGTCCCCTCGGTGCGTGTGCCCCGGCCGCTGCGGCGCATGCCCCCCGTGTGCTTCTGTGTGCCTTGGCAGCCGTCTGCCGCCCCTACCTTCCTGCCTGTTTGATTTCCTGGTGATCTGTCTGCCGGCTCTCCCCCCTCTCTCCACTTCTCTTTATTTCTCCCCTCTCCATGTCTAGCCTGCTTGCTTGAGAGTGGCGACCCCCCCCCCCTCCCCCTCCCTTCGTCCCTCGCCGCCACCGGGGAGGTCCGCCACGTGTCTCACACCCGCCTGATCCCCTCCACGCCCCCGCCACACAGAAACCCTGTCCGCCTGCCTGGCCAAGGGATCGGACCCCTGCCTGGAGGAGGCCCAGATGCTGGAGCAGTGCGCCCTGCAGGCCGCCTGCCCGAAGGACATGGCCGCCCTGCTGGACTGCACGTCCGGCTTCGGCAAGGATGATGTGCGTGTGCCCCCCCCCCCCCCCACGGCCAGTCCTTCTCTGAAGTCCCCTTGACTGCGTGCATACCCGTGAAAATGGTTCGCATCCCCCTCTGCCACACGCCTCCGCGCCGCGCCAGCCGCCACGCCCTCGATGCAGTTCCTCACCTCCCCCATCCCCGTTCCCCCCCCCCCTCCCCCTCCAACAGGCTGGTGCTTACGAGAACGCCAAGAAGCTTATGTCTCTCGTCGAGGACGAGTACGAGAGCCAGTATGGCCGCGTCTTCTCCGTGTCCGGTCCCGTCGTCATCGCTGAGGGCATGGCCGGCGCTGCCATGTACGAGCTGGTGCGCCATCCCCCTCCCCCCGCCCCCTCGGCCTCGTGCCGCGCTCTTTCCCCCTTTCCCCTGTCGTCCACTCACATCCTCCCCCTCCCCCCCCCCTCCCCCTGCACAGGTCCGTGTCGGCCACATCAACCTCGTCGGTGAGATCATTCGTCTCGAGGGTGACACCGCCACCATCCAGGTCTACGAGGAGACTTGTGCGTCTACGCCCCGCCCC